ATTAATACCATGTGTAGTGTAATTAAGATCAGTATACAAACACACCCCAGTAAATTTCTTCAGTATTATCTTAATATGTTTGTGCAAATTGATATTTTCTTGTAAATTTTTTAAATTCTGCAGTATTTTGTGTAAAACTGTCTCAGCGCTGCCCTCTATGGGTTGAACGGTGGCTACTGCGGTTGAATTGTCCTATTGGATAAAGCTATGCATGCTTATGTCACAAATCCCGTTTTCGGGTATAAAAGGCTTTCACTCAGACGTTCCTGCTGCGAGTCAGGAGTAGAAACTGTGAGCACTGCAATGAAAGGTTTTTTTTTCCTGCTTTTATTTATTTATTTTATTTCCCGTTATTTAACCAGGTGAGTCCCGTTGAGATCTCAGGCCTGGGCCTGAAGGCGACCTATTGTACATGTTTTTAGGAGTGAGTGAAACCGGAGTACTCAGAGAGAACCCACACAAGTACGAGGAGAACATGCAAACTCGGCACAAAAAGACCCCAGGTCCGAACCAGGGATCGAACCCAGGACCTTCTTGCTGTGAGGCATCGGTGCTAACCACTGAGCCGTGGTGCTGCTTGTTAGTAATGATACACACATTGCCTCGGCAGCACCAGTTTCTTGTCCCTCATTCGGTGCCTTGAGCCAACAGCTCGAACCACTGGGTTCAAAGACTGAGGAAGCGGGTAAAAAATAAGTTATTGGTACATGTACACGTTCAGAAAAGAAGCAGGCAGAGTGAGGGGGGAAAAAAATTTAGCTGCATTTGAAGAGCAGCACGAAGCATGGACGTCRGCCTCGTATCAAAAAACAAACTGCATTAACTTTAATAATCTTTGTCGTTCAATATTTTTTAAAGTAACTACAAAGTTGCTGTGGCGCGTCATCAATATTCTCTCAGTAATAAATCAGTTTTATACCCACCAGTGTGACGATTCAGTTTATCATTGCTGAACCACGACGCTGAAGCTTCAGGTAATGGCTAATTTTCCGCTACCTTGAGCTTTTTAATCGGTTCTAGTTTTAAACATTAAAATACTTAGACGTCAAACCTGGAATTTTCTACACTTATGGCAGAATATTTAAAACCAATACTGGCAAACCTTTGTTTGATTTGTGAAACTTCAGTAAAGACACAGCACATTTTCTGCATCTGGACCACACTAGACCTGTTTTCAGAAAGGCTAGCTTGTCAAATGAAGCTAGCTGTCAGGTTCCCTCGTCCCCACACTTTAGGTCGTGCCCCTCAGTGTCTCTTGGCACCGCCCACTTTGTTGACTTTTTTTTTTTTCAAATTTGCCTGGGGGGCGGAGTTATGCTTCCACAATGGTTGGTTACACTTTAAAGCTGAGTTCCCAGAACAAATTTGAGGGCATTTTGCTAAAAATGTTCCACATTTTGACAGCAAGAAACAAGAGTAACATCAACTGTAGCCAAAAGAACTGAAAGAGTTCAGTTCTGTAGAAGATTCCTAGTTTTTTCAAAATTTTCCTCCCCTTTAATCCTCTTTTCCCCTCCCATTCAGGATAAAATGTTTCACTTCTGGGTGAACACCTTTTTCATCCCCGGGCCAGACGAGAGCGGGGAGAAGATGGAGAACGGGGCAGTGAACAACGTGGAGAGCCAGCAGGGAGGAGCGGTTCCGGGACAAGGCCAGCAACAGAGCGCCGAGAGCAAGGACGGCTGCAGGGAAGGAGACAGGGACAAGGAATACCTCATCCTGACACTTACGAAGAATGACTTGGACAAAGCCAATAAGGATAAGGCTAACCGCTACTTTTCTCCAAACTTCAAGGTGAGTATTGGCAGGAGGAGTTAGTTGCTTTTAATGAAAACTACCCAGCAGTGATAAGTCTCTAAAAGCACATCCCGACTTTTGTCTTGATGTTCCAGGTGAAGTTGTATTTTACAAAAACCGTGGAGGAGCCAAATTCCGAGGCTAGCACTTCGACATCCGTCACCCCGGACGTTAGCGACAATGAGCCAGACCATTATCGATACTCTGACACCACTGACTCTGATCCGGAAAATGAACCCTTTGATGAAGAGCAGCACACGCAAATCACAAAAGTGTGAACTCTTTTTCTTTTTCTTTTTTTTTTTTTAAAGCAGGAAAGGAAGAAAATATACACCTGAGAAGAAAAAAAGACAAAGAAAAAAAAAAAGGAGAAAACTTGAATATAAACTCAAAAGAAGAACCTTTGTCCCGCCCCTCCCCCCTGACGGCAATAGAATATCATCATGTCAAATGCCAATTTTAGAGAAAAAAAATTGACCAATATATTGTTTTTTTAATTTAATTTAATTTTTTTATTTTCCTGTTTTGTATTTTTTATTATTATTTTTTTTGGCACAGCAATGTACCATATGCGAGGTATTGACACTGTTGCCCCAATGAGAAAAGGAGCTGTAGCTATAAAAAAATGTGTTTATATATATCTATATACATACATGTATATACATATATACATGCATATATAAGCAAACTTTTTTTTTCTTTTTTGTCAAAGACAATGGAAAGAATACCACAATCAGGAGACGGGAGTTGAAGTGTGGGAGAGGTTTGAATGAAATACTAGGACTATGCTGCTCCTTCTCCTGTCTAAACCAAGGCCAGTGCTGCAGTCACTTTGTTTCACTCCCCTCTTTTTCTCCCCTCCCCCCTCATCTTTTTACTCCACCCTATCCATCTCCCTATATTCCTTTACTGTGAATGCTTCTTGTGCTCTTTGCAGGCTGTCTCATGTGACTTTTGGCCTTTTGTGCAGTGCAAACTGCATGCAGGCAGTGGGGCTGGGGGGTGGGTGGGGGTGACGAAGAGGCTGTGATGATGTCTAAAGCATTGCCATTCCTGTTCCCACTGTGTATATGTTTAAATTATGCAGAACAAGGCATCCCATGTAATTGTTAATGTTTTTTTTTATCCTAAGATAATAAAAAAGTTATAATACACAAAAAACAGCAGGGAGACAAGTGTTTGCAATAATGTCAACACTACATTTAAAGGACAGTGGTGATTTGCATGTACTGGAATTGGAGTCCATCCCTTAATAAATGTATGCAATGTTGTCATTTCTTAAAGAATCCACCGTTTTGAGATGTCTTAGAAAACCGCTTTGGTGGTTTAGGAAAAAATGGACAAAAATCACGTGAAACAAAGGCCCAACATCACGAACGTAATCACCCAGGTTTAAGCTAAGAACATCTTGTGCTGAAGTGATGGAGCTGCGGTCATTTTGGTCATACTTTGGGGGAAAAAAAATGGAAGGATGGCTTTTAACATCACGCTTAGCTCCTGCATCAAATTTTTAGCTCAACGTCTGTAGAATCTATTGAGTTACAGACATTTGTAAAGTTGGTTTGCTATGTTGGTTGTTGCTTTGATTTGGACTTGGACTGAAACTTGATCAGTCGTAGTCGGACAACTAGTGATTATTTTCTGAAACTTTCATTTAAATCCATGTAAGTGGTTCATAAGATATTTTGCTAACAGACAAAACAGGGTTGACTCCAGCAGTTACCGCTACAGTTTGAAGCGAAACTCTCATGCAGTGATACTCTCTTGTAGTACAGTGGTTTGCAAAAGTATTCATACCCCTTGAACTTTTCCATATTTTGTCACATTACAACCACAAACATAAATATATTTCACTGGAAT